TTCTCATAAATCTTAAAAAGTCAAAATGTCTCAAAAATTCAAAATCAATTTTGCAAACATGTATAGTACCTACCATTAACAAAAAAATTTACTGTAAAAAAAGATGAAGGAATTATTAGAAAATTACAAAAAAAAGGTAGCAGGTCCATTTACAATTATCAATAAACTATAGAAACATATAGATAATAATATATTACAATTTTTTACAGATATATAAACAGATTTTAAAAAATAAAGAAATACCAAAAAAATAGTCAAAGGGATATATATTTCCTATAGTTAAATTCAAAGATTGGAAAAAGAATATATGTAATACTAGACCAATAACCCTACTAAAAACAGTTAGAAAAATATTTACAAAAGGAATTTATAATAGACTAATACAATATTAACAAAATACACAATTCTAAATAAAAATAACTAGGCAGGTTTGCCAGAGGGATCAATATAAATACCTATATATATATTGAACAATTGTATAGAGGAAGCTAAAGAATTTAAAAAAAGAAATATGGATTTTATCACAGGACATATCAAAAGCTTTTGATTCAGTAAATATAGAAATGTTAAAAAAAAAATATGAAAAGAATAAAAATTCCAGAAGAAATTATAGTAACAATAAATAAACTACTAAAAAATAGAACCAATAAAGTAATAACTTATTATGGGTTGATAGAAGCATTTAATTCTAATCTAGGAATAGAAAAAAGAAATGCAACATCATCTCTATTAGGAGAATATATTATGAAAATTTATACAACAGACTTAATTTAATGTGCATAAAAGTTATAAAACATAAAGCTAGTTTTGCAAAAACTGCTATAAATAGTTTATTCTTCTTAAATGAAGGTTATTAAGTATTTAACATTAATAATTGACAAATCTAAATGCATTATAAAAATATCAATAATCACCCAAATAGAACAGATGTATTAGGAATAATAACTAATATAAAATTTTGACAATTTCAAACCTTCTTATAGATAGAAAATCATTTCTGTAAACAGAAAAAATAATAAAATCAAAGAAGAAAGTACCTTTGCAGCATCAATAATTAATTTATTTAAGAGGAACAAAATTAAATGGTACCAAACTAAAGGAGATAAATATAATCTTAAGATTCCATAAGGTGAAAAATATTAATAGAAATGGTGCTGAAAAATATTGGACAAAAATATGAAACATATAGAAAAAGCTTAAGAGAAAAGAAAATTTTATACTTGAGCTTAAAAAAAGCAATAGAATGGCCACACATACAAGTCAACTTCATAAACAAAAATTGTAGAATTTCAAATTGGTATAAACTTATAAAAGACAAAGAGAAAATAATTATGGATAGTTATAGTGAAATAATTACACAAATAAATAACAAGCATTATAACTAATTTTTTTAATTACAAAATAATTACAATTTAAAATAAACACAACTGGATAGCTATGAAAAAGACAAATACTAATCAAATAAAAATAGGAAGAATAAAGAAAAATAAAACAACAAAGAATAAAATAATAAGAAAGAAAAATAAAAATAAAGAAAATTATGAAACATTATAACATACTAACAAGAAATATGGAACTTACATCAGTACTGATTCCTTGTAAAGGTTGTAAAAAAAACAATGGAGATAAAACAAATGAATTTATTATAAGGCTAGACAATATAGATAAGACAAAAATAGAGATACCAGTTGCATACTTAAAGATTTCAACCTCAGTAACAATAAGGAAAAGATATAAACACAGAATAAGGATGCCATTTAAAAATATTAAAAAAACAATAGAAATTATAGAATCTGTACACAAAGAACCTATAAATGATCAAAACATATGTTTAGATATAATTGACATAGAAACAGAACAAAATATTATTAGAAAATGGTTAACAATAAAAAAGACAATATATAAAAAATTGGAAACTATAAGAAACAAATTAAAAAATAGAACAGAAATTAAAGTATATACAGATGGTTCAATAAAGAATATACTTGAAGAAAACCACATAAACCTGGGATGGATGATTTTAGATCAAGAATCAAATAATAATATAACATTCCAAAGTAACTTAGAACAATTCCTATTATCAACTAGAGCAGAATTAATGACAATACTAATAGCACTAACAGTAATACCAAGAAGTTTCCAGGTAAATATATACACAAATAGCAAGTATGCTATAGATAATATGAACAAAATCAATAAAGGAAAAATAAATTATATATGGAATAATGTTGAAAATCCTATTATACTTCAGACTATAAAAGAAATTATAAATGAATTGAAACTACAAATTAAGTTACATAAGGTAAAAGCATATAAAGGAAACTATTTTAATGAAATGGCAGACCAACCAGCACAAGTTACAGAAAAAAATAAAAGAGGATTATGTAATCAAAATTAATTACAATAATATTGAAAACAGATCATTTATTCTAACATAGGATGAAATACCCATAGAGCTTCCTATAAAGCAGACCTTAAAAAAATAAATACAATAAGACACAAACAATGTTGGAAACTGCAAAAAAGGTTTCAAAAAATTTTGGATGATGAAAAAACACAGAAAATTGACTAGATCACTACATTTAAAATATTATATTCAAGTAAGATAACAAATGATAACACAAGTAAAGAAGATCATATTAAAAAAAGTTTTGCAATGAAACTTTTTAATGGAGAACTACCTGTTGTTAACTTTATTTTTTTAATTCTTATATATATTTATTATTATCAGTATTATATTTTATTAGCATATTTTATTAGTTAGATTTCTTTATTTGTATTACATTTTTATAGTATTATTATAATTTATGAGTAACAGATGTAGATCATTTTTAATTGTAATGCAAGGTTGACACCTCTGGTAGACACCTCTAGCACAAATGACTCATTAGCAAAAATAGCTTATAGAATATCTTGGAATGTGACAGAAATTTCCAGAGCTTTCTTGAGATTAGTAATTATAGTCTTGCAACAGGATAATAATTTGTATAAATAGAGATAGCTTTTGTCCTTAGAGTTAGGACAGTTAGAACTTGATTATATTCTGAACTCGATATGTGTAATAAATTATTAATAAAAGTCTTTGTGACAAGTAATAATTTAAACCTTTGATTTCTTAGTGAAATACTTTTTTAATAATACCCTACTTTATGATCTCAGCATTATTCTGTTTATAATTAACTTTGCTTTGTGATCTTGGTTAATTATCTTAATTCTGTGTAAATTCTTATAGTTTCTGTGTGAAACTTATAATATTCTGTGTAAAAGTCTTTAAACTTAGTGTTATATTAATAACATAAAACCCCATACCCCCTTCAAATTCTCATATCTTTAGCCTCTTTTGAACAAAACCTGCAACATCAAATCCTTTACCTTTTATACTTATAGTATAAACCTCCTAACTTTAACATATTTATCTAATTGCTTCATGATCTTTTAGACAATAGTTTTCCTGTTATTAGTTATTAGTTTATTGTGGTTAGTAATGGTAATCATGGTCAACAATGTAATACTCATAAGATTTAAGCATCAACCTTACATATATAACAGTCCAAAATGTAAATTATGTGGAAAGTATGAGGAAACTGATATACATGTGTTTGAGTGCAAAAGAAATAATATTTAAGAGAGTGAATACACACTAATGACAAATCATTGCAAACAATTAATTAATTGCTTAACAATAAAAATTCAAAAACAAACAGATAGATAGAGAAAGACAAAATACTAAGTGAACTTAGGTCCCTAAGTGAGTTATGGAAGTTTTGGAAGATACAGATGAAATGAATTCATCTAGGATCACATTACACAAATTAATCAAGGGATTCATACCACAATCATTAGTATTCAAAGTCACATCAATGTTGAAATCTAGAGAAAGGACCAGGGAAGCAATTATTGAAGGAATGGTTAACTTCAAAGAGTACTCAAAAGACTGCTGGAAGGAACAGTGTGAAAAAGTGACACTATGGGAAGCTAAAAATAATATTACAAATAGATTGAAAAGGAAAAAAAAAGGGAAAACTAATTTAAAAAAGTGAGAATATAATGACAGTATAAAGTTAGTAGAAACTAATGAAGGAAAGTACAGTAAAATAGAACAAATTGAAAAGAACATGATGCATAAATTTAGAATGTGGATTAACTTAGGATGCAAATATAATAATAATTATAGTTATATATATAATAATTACATCTGATGGGGTTTTGGCCATCAGTTCCTGAGGTTACACTTAGGCAATGATGAGTCAGACCGTAAAATGTTATTTTTAGTCAGTTTCAATAAATGTAAAATAAATTATATGTATCTTTAAAATTTACACCTAATTTATTAATAAAAGTTTATTGGAGCAAGACTCTGCTGGATTTAAAAGAAAAAAAAATGAATTATGTATTTTTAATATATTTAATAAAAATGTTTAAATATACTTTGTATTAGGAACTCTTAGAAAGATTATTTCAAAGAACATTGATGTTGATATTTTTTTTTATATTTCATCTATTTTCTATAAATGATGTGAATAATTTGAATAATAACCATTAATAATTTATTTTCACAGATATCACATATATGATATAAAAACATCAATTGGAACAGCACATTTGAATATTTTATAATGTTTAAATGTCTGGACCTAAAATTAATTGCTTGCAGTCAAAATCCTTTTGTCTTATTTATTTTAGTTCTTTAAAATAATAAATTATTTAATTAAACATTAAGAAATACACAATTATAACTATCCTAATTAAAATAAAAAAAAATAAATATAAATAAAAAAAATGACCGAATAACAAAATATAACAAGGAGTTGTACAACCCTTCATAAAAAATATAACAGCACACAAATTCTAATTATATAAATACACATTAGTTTATAGTTTTTGCTTACATTATTTGGCAAGCATGCATCAGAACAGTCACACTCTGGATATAAATGTTATATAAATGTGATACGATTCTAATTTTTTTAAAAAAATCCCTTTTTTCTTAAGCAAAAAAAATGGAAACTAAAATTCCCACAGAAATATTAACCAAAATTTTAAATAATAATACTAGTTCTACTCAAGACTTATATTCATCATTATTAGTTAATCGAATCAGTTGTAAAGTTACTGTACCTTTGCTTTGGGAATTAACTTTGGGTCAGGAATGTTGTATGGATGATGAGGAGTTGAGTAAGAAAGCATTATGTATTCGAACTTATATATCATGTATGGATACTCAAGCGCGAACTTTACTGACTCAAAATGGATTTGATTTATCATCATCACCACCTCAAGCCACTTTTGATTATCCATCGTTTGTTCATAAAGTTGGAACTGATAATTTAATTTATTTTTTTTCTATATATTCATAACAAATTAATGGTTCAGATTGAGACAATAATAATAATAATAACGAAATAACCAACGTCAATTTGAGAATATTATTTCGTGAGACATTTAAATTAATATTAAATCGTTGTTTATTTCTGAATTATTTTAGATTGACAGAGGTTCCCAAAAATTTTGGAAAAAATTTTCGCGATTATAGTGATATAATTGTTACAATTTTCAAGTTACTTAGTGCCCCAAAGATATTTAAGAAATTAGAAAGTCTTACTTCAATAATAATAAGAGATGAACAGATTCGTTCATTAACTGAATCATTAGCATTAATTTCTGATAATATTTTAAATATGGATTTGTCCTTGTTCTCACATTCTCAAGCACGATTTTTTGCAGAACTTATTAGTACTCAAAAATGTTTAGAAAATCTATCAATTATTGCTGCTAGATATGAAGTTCATGATTTAATATTTTAGGCAATTATCAGTCAAAAAAAAAACATTAAAGAGTTTTCGCTTAAAAGAAGTAAATTTTTTCATTTCTGAAAGAAATCATCACCAATTGGACAATTTACTTCACTTCAAGAACTTAATATGGAAAATTGTTATGGATTACATAAATCAGATAGTCTATTCTTTGCTTCATCATTTACTCAATTAAGTAGTTTTCATTTTTCATATCAAATTGAAATGTATCATCATGAATTTGCTATAAAGATTCTTGAAGTATCCAATGCAAATTTAAAAAATCTCTGTCTAGATTTATATTTTCAGCAATTTTAAATCATTGTACAAAAATTAACAAATTAACTATTTATAATTTAAGTCTTGAACAAGTAATAGCAGTATTTAATATTAATTTTAATGAATTAAGAAGATTTTCATTTGATTGTGAATTGCTTGAAACTATTGAAGTTAAACTATCAGCACTAAATATCCATGTATTATAGATTCTAAGAAAATTTTTTGAAGGGTGGTGTTTTAGAGAGGAGGAAGAAATAAAAAGATTATTGTAAAACATACAGAAGAAGCATGACTATTTACATTAAATGATGAACATTTTAAGTTATTGAAGAATATGAAATCAATTTGATGTAGACAAATTATGTTCCGAATAATATTCCAAATAATATTTCAAATAATATTTTATAATGCTAAATCAAAAATATATGTAATAGAATGTTGAGTTATAAGTTTCATTGAATTATTAACATTCTTAATAAGTTGAAACCAAAATATTGAAATATTTATTAAAATCAATGGCATATTTAATAGATACTAATTTCAGAAAGAAAAAAAAATTATTAGGTGATATCTTTTAATATGCTTTGATATAATTTCACCTGACTTTACTATTTATGGCTGGAAAATTTTGTATTTATTGTATAAAAATGTCATTTTGATTTTATCCTTAAAATTTAAATCAATATTAAATTAATTAATAAACACGAAATTTAATTAAAATATTAATCAAAAAAACAGTACAATTATTTTAATGAATATGGAGTATTTGCATAATATATACATCACCCCCCAAGTTCCATAAAAAAATTTTATTAATATTTTCAAATTTGAATACAGTGGCTATATCTTTATATCATTTGTCAAATACAAAAAAATTACTGTACCAGATGGTAATTCCTATATCATAGACCAGCTAAAATCAACCACCCTAATTTATCCTACATTATAAATTATCTAAAATCAGAATTGATATTTGCACTGTTGTTCTTTTGTGTATGCTTCCTCATGATTCTTTAATTATTTATTAATTTCATCTCTGCTGATGTATCAGAGAATTCCAAAAGAATGACTTTATTTAAATTTCACAAGATTTTTGCATAAAGCAACAGAAGGCTTGCCATTTTAAAGCAATGCAATTGGTTAGATCAATTACTATTGCCTTATTTAAGTAACCTAATGCATCAGAGTAGTATTTTCTAATCCTTTGATCACATGCCAAAGATCTTCAGCTTTAATAGAATAGCAGAATCTAAATCATCAATTGTTTTGTCATGTTTCTTTAATTTTCTATAGGCTCCTGCTCTATCACACATGGAGTTGTAACTAGTGGGAAATTATCAAGATATTGAATATAATAATGAACTGCTTTATTTCCTTTAAAAATGTTTAGCACAGTCAATTTAAAATTTTTCTATTTTAAATGACATAATTATGAGTTTTTTTGATAATCCATGCTTTTATAAAGAAACAAAAAAATTATATAAGATAATGTGTTCTATTCTAGATATAATTGTATAAAAAAGACAAAAGAAGGCATCACATCAAAGGAAAACCAAAAGATTAGAAATGTGCATGCATTATATTTTTATTTCCTGTATTTTTTGAGAAATAATATACAGGTGATACTTTTTCATCTTATGCCATAATATACTTTAATGACTAACTTTTAAATATTCAATATATGAGAACTCATTTTTGTATTTTTTTAAATTATGTTTTATTATTAATTGTGGTAATAAATAAAAAATAAAAATATTTTAAGTGCTATTGATTTATATTTATACTAATTTATATAAGTGCCCAGTAATGCTTTGAATGAAAGTTATTTTTTAAGAAATTATTGCATAATATTATTATATAAAAGATCTATATTCAAATTAATGTTTGACATCTTGTCAAATTTAGATTTTTCCTTTAGAAACAATAAAATAATATGCCATTGGAATTGCACACATATTAGTGTGTTATGACAGCAGAAGTTTAGAACTGCTTGGAGGATTGGGTTTAAAGCATTCTATCATCCTCAGCAAATAATGCTTCAATTAGATCTTGGTGCATAAAATTACTGAAATCAACAATATTTCTAATTTAATTTGATTGAATCAATCAATTCCTGTTTGACACTTTAAATAAATTTTTCATTAAGATTATATTAAAGAGCTAAACTGATTTTAATATGTCAATTTATTGAGGATATTGATATTATATGATTTTTTATTACTTCTGTCAGATAAATTACTTTCAAATTGTACTTGTTTTCATTTATAAATTATAAATACCTTCTTATCAGAAGCAGAAACTTACATAATCTTCAGAGGAGAAGACGCGGCATTCTATAATTAAGATGATTTAAAGAATTTTATTAATAGTGAATATCCTTGGCTCCCACAATTATTAATCCTCATGATTTTTTGTCTCTACAATTCTTGGCCCACAGTTCTTTGATTATTATCATGGCTTTTCTGTATAATTCATTTTATACTATAATATGTTATTATCTGAAACTGTCAATTTTTTCAATAATAGTATGTGAATTTCAGTAATATATAAAGTATTAAGTTTTATTAAATTACTCAACTTTTTTCTGATGAATTCTAGTTTGGTTACTTAATAAATGTACCCTGAAAATTATTAGAAATTATATATTTAATAATTTCAGTTCTTTGGAAATAGGTTCTAAATATTATTTCAAAGAATTGTGATTGGGATTAAAAAGTAAATACCCCTGAAAAACTTCACTTTTATGTTTTTTAAAACTTTTAAGACTAAAATGAACTTTCAAAAAATTTTCTTAATATAAAGTAAAACAATAATAAAAATAGTAATATAATTATTTTGCAATTATAGGACTATTAATGTTTAATGTCTCTGCTTGTACTATGCTAAATTTACTTTCATTGTTAGTTCAGAAAATTACAGTTTTATTATATTTGATTTTTCAACTATGTTTTGTGTTCTTAATCATCTATATTATCTAAATTCTATGAATAGTTATTCAACATCTAATTTAAATCATATTCATAATTAATTATATACTCATTGCCAAGAATCATCAAATACCCTGTTTATAGTTTCTATTCTTATATAATAATATACTAAATAAAGAATGATAACAAAATTTGTTCTTATTTATATCTGTATTCATAATAATGTAAACAAATTTAAAAATAATTCATTAAAGATAATTGTCTTATACTCTTTTTTTTTAAAAAACTACATAATCAATTTTTTTCATATTTTTCTGTTTACTTATTTTTAAATAATTTTAAATTATTATTTTTTATTAGATAGACTAACTGAATAAGTGTGGAAATTTTCAAAAATATAGAATGAGGTTTTATTTAAATAGCTGTTCACATGATTATTTTGTAACATTGAATTATTACATATTTCTTGAGTCATCAATTATTGAGGAAATTATTGCATCATACCAACCAGTGTAGTTTTTTGCTGTATGTTTAATCAACAAAAAGTGTCTAGTTCGAGCTATTATCTTCAAAAAATTAAACTTATTTTTTTTCAATTTAATTTTATACAATTTTATTATTCTGAGGTAGAAAAAGAAATAATCAATAGGAAAATTATAGAAAACATTTTTTGCATATTTACAAGCTATGAACAAATTTTAATTATTATAATATTTACTTTATTGAAATTATGGAATATTTTGAAAATTTAATAATTATTGGAATAGTTCATAGCAAACTTATTATTTAAAGTTTTTATGTAATAGTTTATGAAAAAATTGTGTATCAGCATTTCTGGACATTTAATGATAATGAAATTTAATTGAATTTTATAGGGAAATAACTATGCAATTGTTCTAGTTATCCTCAAGAACTGAAATTGCATCTGTAATATTTTTAATCGATACTTATTTTTTAATGACAACATAGTCAAATATTAATGTAAATTTAAATATTTTATATAGAAAAAGAAATAAATATATATATTCGTTTGGGATAAAATAATTAACATCTTGACTTAAATTTTGTATCAGTTAGACTAACCAAACTGGAAATTAGATTTAGTTATTAAATTTCATTAGACGGCTTCAAATATAATTGCTTATCAAAATTAAAATCTTTGCTTAGTTTAAGGTAATATATATTAACAAAAATTAAGCCATCCTTCTTTCGCCATGATAAACAAAATAAATTTGAAATGTTTCATAGACTCTAAATTATTATTTCAAAGTATAGAAAACTATAAAACTTAATTAAAATACAATGTAAATAAATCTCATTTAAATAAAATACAATACAAAATCATTAACAAAATCCTCAATTGATTCCTATGGCAGAAATTAATTGCTTTACAATCATTATTCCTTGATATAAAACCAACTAAAAAATGAAGATAGCTAAAATATTTAAAAGAATTTGTAATCTTACTTTTCAATGAAGTGCTCATAAATAGTAGGAGGCAACACATTTTATTCAAGGTATATGAAAGAATCTTCATAATCCTCATGATTAATTGTGAAATTTTCCTGTTCTTTTCTTTGATTTCTTTCCAGAATTTTTTACCTAGTTCTCGAAGTTGTGCAGCAATCACAAATTTTCAATGTATTAAAAGTATAAACATTGGGTTGACCCTAAACTTTCAGCTGTTTTATAAGTTTCTACATCATGATGAAGATCAGCAGAGGATCATATCAGGATTAAATCCCCACCCTCAGGTGAACATCTTGACAAGAAATAATAATAGCATTAAAGGCTACTATATCTATTAGTTTCCTTTTTTACAAAGTGCTTCTAAAGCAAAATATGCTTTTTTGATCATCATTGCATCAGCGTAAATGACATTTATGATAGGAGATACAGTATAGTTTATTTCCAGTTGGATACATTATTAAAAGCATATCCATCGCTTGCTTGATATCATTGCGATCAACTAGACTTCTTGAGGCGATGAGACACTTGCACCAGAAACTTCTCCATGTACCCTATGTCAAAAATAATTCATATCAATTTAAATTACTTGTTAGAAATTTCGTGATTTGTTTGGTGTTCGACTCGATTTAATTGTGCCATTTA